TTTGGGTTTTTTGTTTCTTTGATATATATAATTGAATGTCTGTACATTTCATACAACATATTTTAATCATATTTAGACCCTCTCCCTTATCTGTATTCCCCCATAGCCCTCCCACTGGATTTCATACATTCTGTCATATATGTTAAGGCCTAGCAAATCAAGTTTATGTATCCAGATGTCCCTCAGTGTGAGTTCGTCCACTGAAACCTGGTCAGCCTATCTTGCATCACCGCCTTCAGTTTATTTATTTATTTATTTATTTATTTATGTGTATGAGTATTATATCTGCATGTGGTCAAGTGTGCCTGTGTCGTACAATACCCTCAGAGGACAGAACAGGGTGTTGGATCCCCTGGAACTGGAATTATGGACCATTGTTAGCCACCATGTGGGTGCTTGGGATTCAAACCTGGGTCTTCTGCAAGAATAGCCAGTGCTCTTAAACACTGAGCCATCTGTCCAGCTTCCCTCCCTTCAGTTTTTAATTTTTTTAATTATTATTTGTTGTGTGTATATGTATGTACATGATATGCATGTGGGGGTGCAGGTACCATAGTGTGCATGTGAAAATCAGACGACAACTTGTGGAGTCAGTTCTCTCCATCCACCTTTATACAGGTTTCGGGGATCAAACTTGGGTTTCTAGGTTTGCTGGGCAAACATCTTTACCCACTGAGCCATCTTGCTGGCCCTAATTTAAACAAACAAAGAAAAAAATCACTCATCACTCATGGGCTGGGGAAATGATTCAGTGGGTAAAATGCTTGCTGCATAAGGTAAGGACCTGAATTCAGATGCCCAGAGCCCACATCTGTAACCTCAGCACTCTTATAAGGTGAGAGATGGAGACAGTAGAATTTCCAGAAGCTCATAGACAGCCTCGTGTATGCAGTGACAAACAACAAGAGACTCTTTGTCAAACCAGGTGGAAGGTGAAGAACAACATCTGAGCTTCTCCTCTGACCTCCACATGCATCCCATGACATCCCTGTGCCTGCATTCACACACAGAAACATGCACACAGACACGAAACATACACACAACGTGCACACACACACACACACACAGAGTTTTTTTTAATTAAAAAATTTTAAGTAAATAAATACTAATTTTTGAGCATCACATACAGTTTTTTTTAATTAAAATTTTTTAAGTAAATAAATACTCACTAATTTTTGAACATCACTTGGCTTTTCCCCTTGGAAAAGTAGAAAAGGGACCTGTATCTTTGTATCCCAGAACTTAAGGAATTTGAACCAGCCTAGAGAAAAATAACTTTTTAAAAAATTTTATTGAGCTTTTATACATTTCATACAACAGCTCTTAATCAAATTTAGACACCCTCCTTCATCCATGCCCCCCGCCACTGAACCCCATGTATTCTGATATACATGTTAAGTTCTATCCAGTCAAGCATTTGTACCCAGATGTCCTTCGGTGCAAATTCATCCACTGGCATCTAATCAACCTATCTAGAGATCGTTGGTATGGTCTTAACCTTAAAGGAGGAATCAACCCTTTACAGAAAGAGTAGAAAATAGGAGGCATACATGTGCTCTATGCTCAAGTCCTAGCCCTGCCCCTAGGTATATGAGTGACCTTGGACAAGTCACTAGCTGATCCATCAACAAAACAAAAATATCAGGCTAATCAGCTGTTCTAGATAGCTTTAGCTGTCAACTTGACACACCTGGTTAGAGGGATCCTCAATTAAGGAATTGTCTCCATTGGATTGGCCTGTGGTTGTCGGGGGGGTGCATTTTCTTGATCGTTGAACAATGTGGGAGGGCCCAGCCCTGGGCAGGTGGTCTTGTATTGTATTAGAAAACAGGCTGAGCACAGGTCAGAGGAGCGAGCCCGTAAGCAGCATTCCTCCATGGTCTGTGCTCCAGGTTCCTGCCCTGGGTTCCCTTGATGATGGACTGTGATCCCTAAGTCAAATAAACCCTTTCCTCCCCAAGTTGGTTTTGGTTGATGTTTTTAATCACAGCAATAGAGAAGCTTACTAAGACATCAACCTTTTACTACCTCATGAGTTCTTCTATGCTAACATTTTGCTCATTACCAAGATCTACCTCTGGCATTCCCTTGGCTCCTTGGTCCTTATAATGTCCATCAAAAGGATTTAGGTGAGAAGTACATAGTGTAGAAGACAGTTGAAGTGTATTACAGCACAATAAGAGGCACTCCAGGTGAGAGTGGGCAATGGCCAAAATGACAATTATGTTGACCAACATGTTAACGTAGGCTATATGCCTTTTTATAAAGTCTCTGAAACACCATGAAATTGCTATAATGAAACCCATTGCTTTGCATGCTTACATAAAAAAAAAACTAATAAAAATTTTAAAAATCACGTCTCTGCAACAAACAGCTTTCCTGAGTACAGTTTTCCTGTCCAGATGATTGGTGGACCCTTTCAGATTAACTATTAACAAAGGGAAAAAGAGTATGTTCTTGTTCTTTTCTAGAAAGCCTCCTGGCAGATAGTAACCTTGGAATCTTCTGGGCAGTTCAGAAAGTAATATCTCCACCCAGGACCAAAGGTGCTATTCAGATCCCATTCTCTTGACCGAAAATCATACAACAGTGTAGATCAAAAATAATTAAAGAAATACAAAAATAATTTAAAGAAAATTTCAAATACAAATCTATAAAATAACCATGCTTTAGCAGGAAAAATAGCCTTCTGTTAATGTGCCTCAACAAAACCCTGCTATGTCCACCTTTCTTCCTTTCATATGGTATTTGAAATCTGATGGTGGTGGAAATTGTTGGTCTTTTTGAGACAGGGTCTCCTTGCAGCCCTGGAACTCACTATATAGACCAGACTGGCCTCGTATTCACAGAGATCCACCAGCTTTTGCCTCGAGAGTCCTGGGATCAGAGGTGCCTGGCCCACCCATCACTGTTTTTCACTTGCAAAATTAATGTATTTATAGGGACACAGGAGGGGGAGCCCCAAGATCCATCAGTGGTGCATCCTTGATGACTACCAAGCCTAATACATTTTAAACTTTTCTTTATTCTTTGACAGTTTCATACATGTATATATTTTGGTCATTTTTAGCCCACCCTCATTACTCTCTTTCATTCCATTCTCACTGCACCTTCATCCCAACAAGTCTCCCTCCTGATTTGATGTCTTTGTTGTTGTTCTGTCTTTGAAGGGGTTGGGGGTGTTGTGACCTACTGAGTTTAGAGTTACTTGCATGAGCATGGATTGGGAGGGTTCTCTACTGGAACATGGGCAGCTTACCAGTAGCTACACCACTGGAAAAAAATGTCCCCAGTGACCATCAATTGCCAACAGCCTCTCCGGGAAGGTGGGACCTCAGGAGCCCCTCCCACATGCATGATGGCCCCATCTATGCTGATGCCCTGCAGGTCACCACAGCTGCTGCGAGTTCATGAGTGTAATGTAATGTCCATGTTGTGTCCATTTCACAGCACATTTATCTCCTGGCTCTTACATTATTTCTGCACCCTCTTCCATGATGTTCCCTGAGACTTGGAATGGATGTCACAGTTGTCACATTTAGGTCTGAGAAGTCTCATAATTTTAACTAACTATTTAACATCCAAAGAGTCGCTGATCTACTGTAGGATAAGAGGCATCAGTCTAGAGGTCTCTACCGCTGCCTCTATGTGACAACCAGTTTATTATTATTATTATTATTATTATTATTATTATTATTTTATTATTGGTCTTTTTTGAGACAGGGTCTCCATGCAGCCCTGGAATTCACTGTGTAGACCAGGCTGGCCTCCATCTCCCAGAGATCTGCTGCCTCTGCCTCCTGAGTGCTGGGATTAAGGCTGTGCACCACCATGCCTGGCTTAGAGGTGTGTTTTTAAAGCAACTTAATTTCGTGGTGAGCAATAGAAAATGAATGTAAAACAGTACATATAGAATCCTCTGAAAAAATTCAATAAGGAACTGAGATGTAGCTTAATTGGTAGAGCATGCACAAAGCCCTAGGTTCTATCCCCAGTACAGTATAAACTGGGAATGGAGGCACACTCCTGTAATCCCAGCACTCTAGAAGTAAATGGGGGAATATTGGAAGTTCAAGATCATTCTTGAAGGAAAATTAAGTACATATACAACCATAGATCACTGTTTAAAGATCACTAATTACCTATTGGAATTTTATATGGTTCAACCTAATGCCATGACTGTAATCTGTGAAGATCGAATTTGGACAGATATCTAGGGGCTGCTTGGATAATACCCAGAATGGGGATACCGACACAAAACCTACCATTAAAGGACCCTAGAAATTCCACTCCTTTGAGATCTGGCTAGTTTTCAAAGCAAACTGCAGTGTGTCTTCTAAAACAAGGTAGTCCACATAACTACCATAACATTTTAGCTGCTTAAAAAAGATGCAGGGCAGATAAGGTGGCTCACTGGGTAAAAGCAGTTGCTCTTCAAATATGACAATCTGAGTTTGATTCCCACATCCCATGGTGATAGGGGAGATCCAACTCCCAAAAGTTTTCCTCTACCCTCCACACAAATGCCATAGCATGCATGCACCTGCATTCACACACACATACACACACACACACACACACACACACACACACATCATACATATCAGACACATGTTAATAATAATAGTTTATTTTTTTATGTGTATGAGCATTTTACCTGCATGTGTATAGGTGCACCCATGTCATGCAGTACCTGTGAAGGTAAGAAGAGCTGGAGTTACAGACGGTTGTTAGCTGCCATGTGGGTGCTGGGAATCTAACCCAGGTCCTCTGCAAGAGCAGTCAGTGCTTTTAACCGCTGAGTCATCTCTCCAGCCCCATAAGTAAAGTTTTTAAGATGCAAATATAGTTCTTGCTAAAATCTCACAGAATATACCCTCCTATGAGTTGATTCTGGAAAAATTCACTTCCTGTACTTTAATACTTCCAGAATATTCTATTGTTAATGAGTGATCTAATTCTCAGCCAAAGGAGAATTCTCATCTATTATTTTGTTTTAGTTATCCCTGAACATTCTGTGAAGGAAGTGTTTAGAACACCTGGGACCATCAAAGACCAAATCAAGAAGTTACTTGCTCACAAGAACAACATGAAAAAGAAGGCGAAACTTAAAAATGTTACCCCAAGACCCACTAGTACACAAACCCCTAAGATTAACCTGTCATTTGGCTATAAAGAGAATGTCTCCAAGGGTGGAAATTCCAATGAAGAACAAAAAGGGACAGAAGAGAGGAGAGAGGGGCTTGAGGAAGAGACAAGAGGAGAGAAAGCCCTGAAAAATGATGTGGAACAGGAACGACGTCTTCGAGGAGATGTGTTTTGTAAGTATCACTTGTGTTATTCTTGTGTGTTATGAAAAATTAATTGTGATTCCTTATGACAAATCAATCCAAAAAAAGGAGACAGATTTCCTCCTTAAGAAAAAAATGGTTTAGCTTCCTTTCTATATAATGTGAGTCTTGTACATATAAACATTTTATGAAATAAAATAGTTTTAATATTTTATTTATTATTTTTATTTTATGTGCATAAGTGTATTGCCTGCATGTGTCTAAATGCACCCATGTCATGCAATGCCTGCAGAGGTCAGAAGTAGGCATCATATCCCCTGGAACTGGAGCTACAGATGATTCTTAACCACCATGTGGGTGCTGGGAATTGAGCCTAGGTCCTCTGCAAGAGCAGTCAATGCTCTTAACCACTGAGCTATCTCTCCAGCTACAAAATAAAATATTTTTAATAAAATGTCTTTATTCTTATTAACTCACAAGTAAAAACATCACACACCTAGTTTAAGGAGGCCACTCAAACACCTGCCTGGTCCCAAATTCTGTGCATTTAGAGACCTTCTGTGTAGTTACAGTGGTCATTCTGAGGCCATGGAACTTCTACTAGGACTTGACATTTTCATTGTCAAATGAATTTTTATTCACTTATCCAATACAAAGAGAAAAAATTATGACAGCTTTGAACCTAGAAAAGAGTAGCTTTAGATCCTCTCGCATGACTCATGTCCTTCGGCCTGTGGTATGTCCTTCCTATCACCTAACATCACCGTTCCTTGGTATCCTTTCTAAATCTTATACTATGTCCATACTTACACTTGTTTACAAACATACATGCATACATTACAGGCTAGGATCCACATGTAAGGGATAACACGTGGTAAAATATTTTAAACTGCAAAAAAGGAAAAAGAAAAATGACTTGGTCCTCAAATCCTTAGAAACAGAGGCCTATGTAAGGTTTAGAGAATACCTCCCAAAGATTCCAAAACAGCCCTTCTGCTCTGGGAAACAAAAGGGTAAGTCCTGTCCTGTTCCCATACCTGGATGCTTCCTGTTTGGTACAGACCCTCCCTACCCTCTCCCAGTACAGGAGGCTTCCTGCTGCTGTTAGAAGCACAGTTGTGTGGCTACCAAGCTTTCATGCAGCACACTAACCAAATCAGAGACCCTCACCTGTGAGTCTCCCAAGCTCTCCATTTTTACTTCATTGTTATAGTTTTATGAGTGTATATTGCTTACACATAAGCCATTTTCATACATGTATATCATGCATTGCTTATCATATTCACCCCTCCTTACAGGCTCTTGTCCCCCCTCCCACTCTTACTGATCCCCTTCCTCTTCCCAACTAGTCCCTTTTCTATTTCCATGTCTTTTGTGACCTGGGGAGGTATAAACAAACCCCTATGACCCCTTCTCATATGCCCCAACAACAAACCAAAGTATAACTCCACCGAAGTCTAACTTGGAGAACCAATGAGTTTATTGGGCTTACTTACAGAGCATGGATGAGGGGTTGCGTACAGGAGTGTGGGTAAGGGGTTATTGACAGGAACACAGACAGCTACACCACTGAAGAAAATACCTCTCCATCCTCCAGTAAAGGTTAACTGCCTATAGATCCTTAGGGAGGGTGGGGCCTTGTGAACTCCTCCCACCTCACTTTTTTACTTCTTGAAGGCACTTTTCATGGTCCCACTCTATGAAAAGTGAATATCACAGCTGTGTGATTATGATTTTACAAGCCAAAACAAAAATCATAAAGGAAAAATGCTATAGTGGAGCTTAGGTTTACTGCATGAATCAGGCAACCGCCATCTCTCTCTTTGCACAGGTTGTGATACAGAGCCCGCCAAGAGAGTTTGTGTATTAACCCAGCCTGGATCCCCACATGAAGTCTCCATTTCCTTCTTTCTGAGAATTCTCTTTAGCCTTGTCTGTTCTTGGCTGTATGACTGGTGATTATGTATACAAATTAACCTAGGGACAAGTAATCACAGGTTCATATATCTAAGAAACAGTATACCAGTCGCAATATCTCCCTTAATAATGAAAATCTCATGGAAGTAGGTTTCCAAAACCTGGTGAGAAGGGGTATATTGGGGGAATGGATGCTTAGTTCACTTGAAAGACCTTCTTGAAAATAGTGTTTCAGATGAGGAATGTGATGGCTGGGAAATGGTAGGGAGACCCTGCTCTAGCATGTTCTGTCATTATAATACATGACAAAACCTTATTTATTCAGATTTGTTTCTTTGGTGCATGTAAGATTTTAGGGTTTCTTTGTTTTTTAACTGATGAGGTTTTCTTTATCAGCCCCTAAGGTAAATGAAGCAGATGATTTGGGTCTGGTCCTGGTCCAAAGAAAAGAGTTAAACTCCAAACTGGAACACAAAGGTAATGATGATATGAAAAAACAGCTCTCACCTTAAAGATAATAAGAAATGGTTTATTCTGGAGCTAAATATGAGCCTGGTAATCCAGACAGAGGTAACAGTTTCATGAAGTTTTTATAGTAATAGAACAAAGAAAGCCCTAAATGAACACACTTTGCAAATTTGTTGGTAGCATCAGGCGAGAAGGTTACAGCGCTATGGGAAAACTTCTGCTATAGGCCTCAAATGCTATCTGGTGACATTCTTAGCATTTGGGTTGTTGGAAGCTACTGGTCTATTAAGCCAATGCATTCAAAATGGTTTCACATGATAGGCACAAGGATGTTAGGTCCGAAACAGAGATAGGCATTGAATTACTGTTGAGAAACTAAAGATAGCCCAAGATAATTTGGCTTTGGCTCTGAAACATCTCAATCTCTCCATAATCATTGAAGTCATTCTTTGTATAATGTTTAATGTAGGTTCATCTCCTTTCCAGAAACTTTAGTTCATAGTAAATAATGCTTTCTTCCCAGGTATTATTATAACTTAAAAGACTAACAGATTCATGGAAAGGGGCTGACATGAGATTACCCTTAAGAAGAGTTTTATTAGGAGATAGGGCACTAAAGGGGGAAAGGAGGACTTCAGGTCCAATGGGGAGCTTCATCAGGAGAGAGCTGCCCTGCACAGTATGACAGACACTTCAGTTCCTGGATTATCAGAAGAGATATAGCATCATGAGCATAGGCAGCCATAATAGGGAGAGAGAGAGAGAGAGAGAGAGAGAGAGAGAGAGAGAGAGCCTTTCAAATCTGGAGAATGAAAAGTTTCTGAATCTTAAAGGTTTTGTGGGTGGGCTCAGTTCATACCATGTGATCTAGCCTGGCCAACCTTATATACCAGCATAGAGGCAGACACTAGATAGGACTGTAAACTTGCCTTGCATCTGCAATGGAAAAAGGCTGCAAGGCCACAGCACAGCAAACTTATCAAACTAACTCAGAAAGAGCTGGCAGGGGGTGTGGCTTGGCTCCTGGGAGAGAAAGGCAGCTAGAGTCTGTGATCTAACAAGTATGTGCTCTCTCACAGTATCCATTTTCATGCCTTGAAATCATAGCTTTATTCATAAACAACCAAGAGAAAAATCACTAATCATGACATACAATTCCAGCATCATGTTCCTTTTCCTGGGTAGACATGAATAAACATTTACGCATCCTAGATGGGCATTAATGATAGACCAAAGTAACCACTCCACCCAAGTCCAACTTCGTACAACAATATATTTATCAGGCTTACTTCACAGAAACATAGGTGACTCAAAAACAGCTGTATTACTGAAAAGTCCCACCTGATTATGGATAATGACATCACAGAAGTTACATCATGAAGTCCAGCCTTCAGTTAACCTTTCAGGTCCTATAGACCCTAGCACCTCCAAGACTGTGTGCAGCTAGAGGGCAGGAAGGAGTGGATGGCTAGAATCCAAGGTGAGGGTCTTGTGATCTACCCTACTAGAGACTGTTAACTGCTCCTTTACAATTACTACAAACCTGGCTTTCACTGTATTGTCTGCTTATTTCATTATCATGACTACAGGGCCATCAATTCTATAGGTCACTTCAGCATCCTCTAATCTATGACAGGGATGCTCATGTCAAGCCAAGAGGAAATCTCTTTACCCCTAACAAGTATTAAAATAGAAGGCCCTCTAAAAAATATTTTTATTAGTATATGTTAATTATCCATAACATTTAGTTTCAGATGACATTTTTATACATACCTATAATGTATTTTGCACATATTCATCCCTGTTACCATCTCTTGCCTCCTTCTCACTCCCAGTGATCCAATTCCTCTGCCCAATTAGTCCCCATTCTACTTGTAAGATCTAGATCATGGTCCTGCCCCTTTAAGATGCCCCTTTAAGAGGCCAAATCTCACAACTTGAAGAAATCAGGCCATACCCTCCTGGCAACTCTCTCTCAGGGACACAGAATTAATAAACCATCCTGTGTTGCCGCCAAACAGCCCCTAATTTCTGATTCTACCCAGTACCTGACTCCTTTATGCTCTTTGTCACAGGGGCTCTATTGAATTAAATTACATGGTGTGAAACTTCCCACCAGTCCTGAACAAACTTACAGAAGCCAAAATATTCCCTTTGTTCAGGGAATTTCCCTGAAGGTTCTTTCTCCTATGTGCCTCTTCCCATCATGCTGTCCATGACAGCTACCTTTCTTACTTTTACTTTAAGCTATATCTCTTAATGAAGCTCCTGTCCAGGAGTCCCTGTCCCTTTAAAGGTCCCATCATGCTGCCTGTGACATGTACTTTCTTTTTTAATAGTCTTCTACTTCAAGGCCCAGTCATGACCTTCACAGTCACAATGCCCTGTCTCCTAATAAAGCTCATTTCTGAAGGGTAATTTTGTATATCAGCTCCTTTCCCAAACTAACCACTGCTCTCCTTTTTAAAAATACTGCTTTCATGTCTGTATGTGTACCAATGAATTTTTTTAGAGTAGGTCCTTGTGTGATTAGTGCCAGTAATTGCAATACAGTAAAGTCATTTTCTCTCTGCTGCTCCCACCTGACACTGAGAGTGAAATATTGAGGCAGACTATATGTGAAGAGATGGGAGAAAGTAACTCTTTTGCTTTAGAAAAACAGTAAGGAGGGTCTTCAGAGGGACAGTAAGAAAACCTAAACATGGCTATGTACGAAAATGTGGCCCAGTGTACCTGTTGTCACAGTTACCTATCACAATAACAGTTCATAACAAAGCATCCCAAACCCTCAATGGCATACCCCAACAAAGAGTGGTGTCACAAGAGAATTGGGGTTCCTTTTGGGGTTCCTTTTGTGGGCTATTGTCTTGTTGATTGGTGAAAGAATTTTAAAATGGACTCAGAAGGAAACTCAAGGACATTTTTTTATTATTTCTATTTTATGTGTATAAGTGTATTGCCTGCATGTGTGTGACTGCACCCCTGTCATGCAGTGCCACGAAGTCAGAAGAGGGTTTCGGATTCCCCTGGAACTGGAGTTAAGGACGGTTTGTAGCTGGTATGTGAGAATCAGCTGGGAATCCAACCTGAGTCCTCTGCAAGAGCAGTCAGTGCTCTTAACCGCTGAGCCATCTCTCCAGCCCCTCAAGGACCATTTTATAAGAGTGTGAGAGAAAAACAACGGGGCAGGCAAGCTGAAAATCCTGGAAGCTGTGGAGAGGAACGACATGGAGAAGAGAGAGAAAAAACATGACTTTTGAGTTAGGGTCAACAATGGAGGTCTGCAAGCAACTGTAGGATCCAAGTAGAGAGAGTCCTTTTTTTTTTTGGTCTTTTTGAGACAGGGTCTCCCTGTAGCCCCAGCTGGCCTGGAACTCACACTCATCACACTCACTATGTAGACCAGACTGGCCTAGAACTCAGAGATCCGCCTGCCTCTGCCTCCCCACGTCTGGGATCAAAGGTCTGCACCACCAGGCCAGGCCAAGTAGGAAGAGTCTTTAAAGGAACAAGAAAACCCAGGGTGTCAGAGAAAGAATGTTTAGGATTTGGTCTGTATCTGAAGAATAGAAAGAAGGAAAAAGTTAAGCTTTTTCAGTTACACTTTTCAATTAGAAGTCAGAAAGGAGGATAGGCTTAATAGTGAAGAGCTGTAAGCAACTACCTCAAGGAAGAGGCTCCATGAATATATATGTTCATTATTTCATTAAGAGGATAATTATTCCTCCCATCTCCTTAGCATGTCTTCATGGGAATCAGCTTTTTTTGAGAGACAATCTCCTAGCCAGGTGATTGACAGGCCCACTTGATTAACTCTTCAGGAAGGGGACAATATGCCTGGCAGCGTCCCCACCTATCGTTAGAGATAGAACTCAGATTGTATTATTTTGGCCAGGAGGAAGTAGCTTTCCTTCAATGAAATTCACCAAAGCCCTGATACCTCCACTTTTTCATATATTAGTTTAGTTTAGTTTTTGAGACAAGGGCTCACTATGCTGCCCTGGCTGGCCTGGAATTTACTATATAGATCAGGTTGGCCTTGAATTCACAGTGCTCTGACTGCCTCTGTCTTCTGAGTGCTGGAATTAAAGGCATGCAGCACCATCCAGGCCTCAAATAGTATTTTAACTTTTAAGGAGGGGCTTCCTTTTCTAGTGTTACCAGGAAAAGCTGATTTTAAGGGAGCAGCTCTGTCTCTGTTTCTGTTTCTCTCTCTCTCTCTCTCTCTCTCTCTCTCCCTCTCCCTCCAGATAGACAGATAGATAGATAGATAGATACATACATACATACATACATACATACATACATATGTAGATATATAACCTAACTATATGTGTATGGCTTTCTGCATAGGCCTCCCAGGGGGACTATCTATACGTTTATTCCTTTCATTTGCTAATAAATGTGAATTACTTGGTCTTCTCTTTCCTTTTCACTTTCTTATTTGTCAATCTATGCATCCTGACCTGATGCTAAGTAATCCCCCTTTGTGTTTATTGTTAGTTCATTCTCCAGTTTTCTCTCTTGCCTTTACAGAAGACTTCCGCTATGAAGAAAGTTCCTCTTAAGTCAGTCCCCCAAATTTAATGTGAGATGCTTCTACTAAAAACTTTTCAAAGGCTAGTCACCCATGACCCAGCTCAGTCAGACATCCTATTTCCATCCATATTGCTCTGAAATGTTCTATTTGTTCCTCTTCATCAACCCAAATTGCCTATTATCCTGATTAGGAAGAAACTGCTTCATAGCACATGTGATGAACTATGTTCTCCCAGTGCTCACAGTTTCTGTCCCAGCCTGCCTCACCCTTGCTAAGCATCTAGATATAGAATTGTTTGAGTTGTCTATGGAGCCCCAGACTGGCCAGGTTACCTAGTTTTCTGTTTCATTCATGATCCTTAATGAAACACAGAAAGTTGGGAGTTTTCCTCCTCAAGGATAACGCCCTGTGATTTCAACAGGCCTTGAATAAGGACTGTCCAAGAAAACTCAGTCCCAATGGGAGGACT